AGTATGAAACACGAAGGCGGCGAGAGGCGGACTAGCCTCCGCGCGAGACTGCAGCTTGGCGGCTGCGCCGTCCAACACTCCCCCTCAAGCTGCCACTAGTCCCAAGTCGAGAACGAATAGATGGTGCTTCTCCTTGGGAAGTGCCTTGGTAAATACATCGGCGACATTAAGGTGAGTGGATATGTAACGATATTCTATGTCTTTGTTTTCCACTAATTGGCGTATAAAATGATAGCGAGTATCGATATGTTTGGTACGTGTATGAAACTGTCCTCCATCTGCTAACTTGATAGCTGCTTGATTATCCGCGTAAATTAAGGTAGGTTCGTCTTGCGGGCTGCCGAACGAGCTGAGAAGGCGGCGTAGCCATAGGGCTTCGCGTCCTGAGTGAGTTTCGGCGATATACTCTGCTTCTGCTGACGATAATGCGACAATAGGTTGCTTCTTCGAACTCCAGGTAATTGCTCCTCCTCCAATCATGTAGCAATAGCCAGAAACTGACTTCCTGTCTATGCGGTTGCTCGCCCAGTCGGCATCCGTGAATCCGATAAGTTCGCTGTCGGCTCCGTCGCCTCCGTAGGTGAGTTTGAATGACCGTGTACCAGAGAGATAACGAAAAACTCTCTTGATAGCGGTCCAATGGGTCTTCGTTGGTTTTTGGTTGAATTGGCTGAGCGTCTGTACCGCGAATGCAATGTCCGGGCGCGTGCATATTGCCGCGTACATTAGCATTCCGATCGCAGTCGCGTATTCGGATTTGGTATGTGCTTCGTCCATTGGTCCGTCGTCGTGTACTAATTGTTCGGCGTCATCTAGTGGAGTCGGAGCGGGATTGGCGTCTTGTAGTCCCATTCGCTTGACTATATCATCGATGTAAGTCTTCTGTCCGAGCGAAATGGTACCATTGACGCGATCCCTCTCGACTTCTACTCCTAAAATCTTGCGGGGTTCTCCTAAATCTGTGGCTTCGAACTTCGTCTTGAACCACTCCTTGATCTCTTGCATCTTCTCTCGGCTATTCGACACGACCACGATATCGTCCACCCAGATGGCCATGAAAACAAACCACCCGTCGATAGTGAACATGAAAATGCTCTGGTCTTCGTCGATAACCTTCGCTCCTTTCTCGGTAAGTGTTTCCTTCAACGTCTTGTGCCACGCACGGGCTGCTTGCTTCGTTCCATAGAGTGCCTTGACTAACTTCAGCACATCTCCAGAACCGTCGTTGTATCCTTCCGGCTGTTCGATATAAAGTTCTTCGTCTAAATTGGCATTCAGGTAAGCACCTTTCACGTCCATCGCTTCCATCTCCCAATTGTTCACTGCTGCTAACGCTATCAACGCTCGCAGGGAATCGAGTCGGACAACTGGCGCAAATGTCTCCGTATAGTCAAATCCGGGAATTTGTGAGTACCCTTTCACTACGATTCTTGCCTTGTACTTCACGTTTCCATCAGCGTCGTATTTCTTATTGAAGACCGTTCGCGTTCCTAACGCTTTGCGTCCGGGAGGTAGCTTTGTCTTCTCCCACGTTCTCTTCTCGGTGAGTTGGTTTACTTCTTTCTTAAATGCCTCTTCCCAATGCTTTGCTTCCTTTGACGCACGAGCTTCTCTCAGCGTCTTTGGGATTTCTTCTAAACTGACGATACCACCTAGGGCAGCGTACGCGAAATTGAGACCTTCGGATGCTTGGTCTTCAGATCCGGCAGAGCTTGTGGCGTCAGGGTCCGTTCGTGCTCGAGGACCTCTTGGCTTTGCTGGTCGGGCGTCCATATTGCCGGCAACAGCATAGTCCATATCCTTGGCTGCTTTGCGGCCAGGAAGGACGCGTATCAGTGGGTTTTGACCTTTTGGCTCTGCCGAACTGACTTTGGTTTCCTCGCGTAGCATATCTTCGACAGTACTCTCTTCGGCTTGACGATTGGACTCTTCGGTACTCGCCTGCTCCCCCTCAATCGTCGATCCACCTTGGACCAATACTTCAACTTTCTTTGCGGGCTCGGCATCGGTAAATACAAAATTTCGCGATACCTTAATCGACCTCTTCTGGACATCATAATAGCGGATCGCCTTCGGACCATCTTCAAATCCGACAAAAATATGCTTGACGGCTCGAGGTGAGAGTTTTCCTATACTCTCCTCGACCTTGATCCATACTGGACATCCGAATTCTCGCAGGTGTGATACGTCTGGTTTCTTGCCAGTCCACGCTTCGTGTGGTGTCTTGCCCTTGAGTGCTCGGGTCATCACCCGATTCCGCAGGTACGCTGCATAGGCGACTGCATGCGTCCATAGAAAATGCGGTAAGTTTCTTGCTATCAGCATTGCTCTCGCTAACTCCATTAATGTTCTATTGAATCGTTCGGCGACGCCATTTTGACTTGGGGAATATGGGGACGTCGCCTCAATATCGATTATCTTGCTCTTGCACCAATTCTTCAACTCTTTGTTGATGAATTCCTTTCCGTTATCGATTCGAATTGCTTTCGGGGGCGTTGGGAAGCGCCGTTCCACATAAGTGAGGTAAGTCTTGACCCTCTCCGTCGCCTCCCCCTTATCCTTCATGAAGAGAACTGTCGTTCTCCTCGTCGCGTCATCGGTAAATGAAATATAATATCTTGATCCTTCTATTGACTTCGTTCTTGCAGGACCCCAGACGTCGCTATAGGTGCGTTCTCCAGGTACGTCCGCTCGAGTTTCGGCTTCCTTCGGGAAAGGCCTCTTCGTGATCTTTGATGCGATACATGCTTCACAGCTATGAGGTAAGCTGCTTGTATCTACGTCGAGTCCGCTAACCAAATTGTCATTATAGATCTTCTGTAGCGATGACGTCGCTACATGTCCAAATCTTCGGTGCCATTCGTCCCATGATGGCTTAGGAGATATGAGCGCGTTCATTCTCTCCTTGCTCTGGACCTTTGCTTTTGCCTTTAGGAGGTATAATCTTGATGGGGTAAGTCTTGCTTCCGCTACAATTTTCTTCTGACCATTGAGTAGCTTGCGCTGGCCACCAAATCCAGTGATTCCTCCTCCTCCCAGGTCAAATCGGGACTCGGAGAACAAACAGAAGTCGTTTGTGGGGATATGGAATACGTTTAGAAGGGTTAAATTTGAGGTATGTCCGCCTAACTGGCATTCCAGCTCTACTGTGCCTCTTCCAGTCGTAATAACCTTC